GAGAATCCACAGCTATGGAAGTCTGAAAAGTAACTTATCAGAATTGCTAGGTCATTTCAACAATTTTTATAAATTTGTGAAACATTATATAGTAAGTTTTAGGTTTGTAATAGTCTGATTTTGTTTCGCCAGTTAGGTAACTATTTCTTCATATTTTTCTATTGCCTAAGACCTATGTTATATATAATTTAAGATATTTTCTTAATGGGGGCTGGCATTGTGGTTTAGCAGGTAAAGCCACCACCTGTGACACCAGCATCCCATATGGGTGCCAGTTTGTATTCTGGCTTCTGATCCAGCTCCCTGCTAATGGCCTAGGAAAAGTAGCAGAGAATGACCCCAATGTTTGGGCCTCTGGCACCCACATGGGAGACCTGGTAGAAGCATCTCGCTCCTGGCTTCTGCCTGGCCTAGAGCTGTCCATTGCAGCCATCTGGGGAGTGAAACCATGCATGGAAGATCGATAGATCTCTCTCTCCCCTCTCTCCCTCTTTCTATAACTCTGCCTTTCAAATAAATAAATAAATTTTATTAAAAAAGATTTTATTACGAATTGAATTATCATAGGAAGAATATTTTTTAAATCATGTGGGGTTTTTTTAGATTTATTTATTTATTTTATTTGAAAGTCAGAGTTACACAGAGAGACGGAGAGAGAGAGGTATTCCATCCACTGGTTCACTCCCCAATTGGCTGCAATAGCTGGAGCTGTGCTGATCTGAAGCCAGGAACCAGGAGCTTCTTACTGGTCTCCCACATGGGTGTGGGGGCCCAAACCCTTGGGCCATCTTCTATTGCTTTCCCAGGCCATAGCAGAGAGCTGGATTGGAAGTGGAGCAGCTGGGACTCGAACTGGTGCCCATATGGGATGCTGGCACTGGAGATGGTGGCTTTACCCACTATGCCACAGCTCAGGCCCCCTAAATCATGTTTTTTATTAGGTTATCAAAAAAGCGAATTTTTCTTTGCTGTTTATAGCCTCATGATCTTATTGAAACATTAATATATCTTATATATGTCAAAAGGATTCAGGTTAGCCGGCGCCGTGACTCACTAGGCTAATCCTTGCGGCGCCGGCACACCGGGTTCTAGTCCCAGTCGGGGTGCCGGATTCTGTCCCGGTTGCCCCTCTTCCAGGCCAGCTCTCTGCTGTGTCCAGGGAGTGCAGTGGAGGATGGCCCAAGTACTTGGGCCCTGCACCCCATGGGAGACCAGGAGAAGTACCTGGCTCCTGCCATTGGATCAGCGCCGTGCGCTGGCCGCAGCGCGCCAGCTGGGGCGGCCATTGGAGGGTGAACCAACGGCAAAAGGAAGACCTTTCTCTCTGTCTCTCTCTCACTGTCCACTCTGCCTGTCAAAAAAGAAAAAAAAAAGATTCAGGTTTATTTTTTATGGCATAATCAATGTAGTTTAAGACTTTTTCCCAACAAAAAAAACCTCTCCGTTTCTTTTTTTAAGATTTATTTATTTATTTATTTGAAAGGCAGAGTTACAGAGAGGCAGAGGCAGAAAGAGACGGAGAGAGAGATCTTCAATCCACTGGTTCACTTCCCAAATGGCTGAAATGGCCAGAGCCACACTGATCCAAAGCCAGGAACTAGGATCCTCCTCCAGGTCTCCCACGTGGGTGTGGGAACCGAAGGACTTGGGCCATCCTCTACTGCCTCTACAGCAGAGAGCTGGATCAGAAGTGGAGCGGCCAGGACTCAAACCAGTGCCCATATAGGATGCTGGCACTGCAGGTGGCAACTTCAACTGCTACGCCATAGTGCCAGCCCCATTGTTTTCTGACCTTAACACTGGGTAAACCATTTTAAGGGATCCATTATACCTGCATTTGTATCCACTGTCTGCTCCTGACAGTCTGTAGCTCTAAGTATTGTTAGCCTTTAAATTTCTTCAAGTGTAAAATAGAGTAATATAGTAATATAAAGTGTGAAAATTTATATGCCTAGGATAGCATTTTTATATACTGGGAGCTCTATAAATACTTCTTTTTCTCTCCTTTTCCTCCCTGATGTACTTTTGAATAAAGAACTTACGAGGAGCTTAAACATTCATAGAAAATGTGTAGTATGGGCCGGCGCCGTGGCTCAATAGGCTAATCCTCCACCTTGCGGCGCCGGCACACCGGGTTCTAGTCCCGGTTGGGGCGCCGGATTCTGTCCCGGTTGCCCCTCTTCCAGGCCAGCTCTCTGCTATGGCCAGGGAGTGCAGTGGAGGATGGCCCAGGTGCTTGGGCCCTGCACCCCATGGGAGACCAGGAAAAGCACCTGGCTCCTGGCTCCTGCCATCGGATCAGCGCGGTGCGCCGGCTGCAGCGGCGGCCATTGGAGGGTGAACCAACGGCAAAGGAAGACCTTTCTCTCTCTGTCTCTCTCTCTCACTGTCCACTCTGCCTGTCAAAAATAATAAAATAAAAAAAATAAAAAAAAAAAAAGAAAATGTGTAGTATGGGTTTACATTGTGGCATAGAAGATTAAGCCTCTGCCTGCAACTTCTGGCTCCTGGCTTCAGCCTTGTCCAGCCCTGGCCATTGTAGCCATTTGGGGAGTGAACAAGCAGATGGAAGATTTTTCTGTCTCACTCTCTTTCTCTCTGTATCTCTGCCTTTCACATAAGTAAATATTTAAAGAAAATGTATAGTGTAAAAACTGCATGGATCTTTTAAAAACTTAGCATCAAGATAAACCTGCCTTTTAATTCCATTTTATTCATGAACTTTTCTTTAAAGATTTGTTCATTTATTTGCAAGAGTTCCTGAAAGAGAGAGAGCTTCCATCTACTGGTGTACTTCCCAGATGGCCACAACAGCCAGGCTTAATGATGTGCATGCTTGTGTGTCCTGATGTCTGTGACTTCTTTGGCAAGGCATTAAAAAATAGGTGGCTAATTAGCTGTTAGAGGGTTGGATATGTGTTGATCCAAATATATAGTAAAATGTTAATTATAGAATTTGGGTTTGTAGTAATATTGTGGTTTTAATTAGCATTTCCCTAATGATTAATGATGTTGAGCATCTTTTCATGTGCTTATTTGCTACATCTCTTTGTTGAGGTGTATATTCATACCTTTTGCCCATTTATATTCAATTGCTTGTCTTATTTATTGAATTATGAGTTCGTTAAGTATTTTAGATACAAGCCTTTTGCCCAGTGTTTTGCAAATGTTTTCTCTTAGTTCATGACTTGCCTTTTCATTCTCTTAAAGAGTGTCTTTTGAGAAACTATTTAAAATTTTAATGAAGTTATGACAGTTTTACTGGAGTCTAGAGAATTAGAACCAGCAAAAAATACTGAAATTCTCACTTTCTCCTGAAGAGTTATGGAATTATGCCTGATTATTTACTGGTTTGTACCACAGATTAGGTACTTATTGAATTCCTCTCTTTCTGTGCAGCTATCCTTGAATTGTAAATGGCTTAATATTTTATTTCAGCAAATGTGTTTTTATAGCAGATCCTAGGATTAGAAAGATGAGTGATGTATGACATCTCTCTTCAAAGTGCTCCTTATTAGTATTTAGTGTTTCTTCTTAACCATCTGGAAGCTAGGTCCATATACTTTTCATTGTCCAGTGCCTCATATACCTGTGGAGGCAATATGGTTTTGTCTTACAATTAAACTTTTTCAACACACAAATATGTAAATTCATTGCAGCAGGAAATCTTTTGTTCTTTGCATCCACCATAGATCATAGCATATTTCTGTGTACATTGGGAACGCTCATTAAATAGTCAGTGACTGAATGAAATTGTTGATGACCATGTTCGAATAAGGTTCTCCGTACTTTACTAAGTGAATAGAAGATACTCTCATTTTAGATGTGATCATTGCAATAGGTTGCTTTTCTGGTTACAAAAAAGATGCCTGATTTTTATTTGGATATATCTTATGGGTGTTTGCTTAATTTTTTAAAAACCTATTTCAAACTAACCCATACACTGTGTGCCAGACTACAACACTGAGAGACCATCTTTGGTGTGACTTTCCCTCTTTTTTTTTTTTTTTAAGAAATTTTTGTAAAGATTTTATGTATTTATTTGAGAGGTAGAGTTATAGACAGTGAGAGAGAGAGACAGAAAGGTCTTCCTTCCGTTGGTTCACTCCCCAGATGGCTGCTACGGCCAGCGCTGCACCGATCCGAAGCCAGGAGCCAAGTGCTTCTTCCTGGTCTCCCATGCGGGTGCAGGGGCCCAAGGACTTGTGCCATCTTCCATTGCTTTCCCAGGCCATAGCAGAGAGCTGGATTGGAAGAGGAGCAGCCAGGACTAGACCTGGCGCCCATATGGGATGCCAGCACTGCAGGTGGAGTATTAACCTACTGCGCCACGGGGCCAGCCCCATGACTTTCACTCTGACAGTCACCAATACCGGTGTTCTGATCTGATAGGAGAGTGAGTCAGGACTTACATGAATATTTTTTAAAAGATTTATTTATCTGAAAAGTAGAATTACAGAGAGAGAGAGAGAGAGAGAGATCTTCCATCCACTGATTTACTCCCCAAGTGGCTACAACTGCTGAGGGCTGAGCCAGGCCAGAGCCAGGAAATTTATCTGGGTCTTCCACATGGGTTCAGGGGCCCAAGTACTTGAGCCATCCTCTGCTTCTTGCCCAGGCACACTAGCAGGGAGCCTGATCTGAAATGGAACACCTGGGACTTGAACTGGTGCTCATCTGGGATGCCAGCACTTTAGGTGGCAGCTTAACTCACTACGCCACAGTACTAGTCCCTCCATTAATATTTTTGAAGAGTCTTTTTTTATGATACAGATTTTACATTGTTGTCATAGAAGTCTGTCTATGTTAGTATAGCACAGAATCTGTACTCAGTTGTAAATGAAATGCTTTCATAAAGCTTACTCTATTTAACAAATTAGGTATTTTATTTAACTTTGGAATTCCTTTTTTTTTTTAAGATGAAACCAATGTGCTAAAACTTGAGACTATATATGTAAATATGTGACAAAAGTTGGCAGTAATTTACTTTCTTTATCTAGGTCCTGGGAACACCAACAAGGGAGCAAATTAGAGAAATGAACCCAAATTACACAGAATTCAAATTTCCTCAAATTAAGGCACATCCTTGGACTAAGGTGAGTCAAAATGAGTTGTTGTTGTTTTTTTTTTTTTTTTTTAAGAGTGGGTATTAACCAGTTCTTAATTAAAACCTGAGTTTGTCATTGTTCTTAAACTAAGCTCTGTTGAGACCAAACAGCTACTTAAATACAAGTACTCAGTAGTTTTGCATGTAAAGATAGCTGAGTGGTTGTCCTTCACTGCTTCATTGTATGTAGTTTCTTTGTGTTGATTTCTGTGGACAGTTTCCAGCCTAAGTTTTTATTTGCAAGGTATAGACAATGTACTAATGTTATTAAAATGTATGCACAAGGTCTTACATTTAAATTCAGAAGTTAACTTATATAGAGAGGTTTGTAGTTCATTTTCATATATAACATAACATTTCATATATTTTCTTTAAGAATGAAGTATTTTGTTTTTTCTCATGTATACTTTGTTAGGAAGCTGGATTAAAAAGCAGATTGCTGGGAGTATACATTAAAAGCAACTAGCATTTGTCACTAGCCTTTGAAAAGCCTGACCTTAATATTAAATGGAATTTTAAAGAGCACAATTACTGATTTACCAGAAGATTATTTTTTCCTTTGACACTTGATTGAGATGATTACGGAAGATTCAGTTTTACTTGTGACATTTAAATGTACAGGAAAAAAATAACAATATCTGAGTAGAGTTTATAAAGCTAGTGTGATTCTGTAGCTTGTTCATTTTACAGGCTCAGAAACTCTGGCCAGAAATACAAGTGACTTATCCAAGATTATATAAGTGGCTTGTGACAAGGCCAGGATTGAATTTCTACTATTGTTGTATATGTGTGTGTGTTTAATGTCAGATCTTTTAGACTTTTCCTCATGTGCCATATGCTCCTTCCCCTGTTTAATTATATCTCAGTATATATTTTTCATGGGTTAGAAATGGTCGTCTTTGTATTATATATATCAAGTAGAGACTCTATTTAAGACATACATAAAACAGTTTTTGTACATTGATAAATCCATTTAGTTAGTTATAGATCATTTATAATGAGATAAAAGTAATTTAGAGCTATAGGTGAAATAATTAATATTCCCTAGACAAAAAGTGTTAGCACTCCTCCCACACAAGTTGTATTATGACTAATTCCATTCCTTCAAATTCTCACATCACATTACCTCTCTCAATCATTTATTTTCTGTTTAAAATAAAAGACCTCAGTATTACTTTAGTGTCAGAATTAGAGTTTGTAGCTTTATTTGAAATAACAGAGTTACACAGAGAGGGCAAGAAAGAGGTCTTCCGTCCACTGGTTCACTCCTCAAGTGGTCATAATGACCAGTGCTTGCTTAAGCTAAAGCCAGAAGCCTGGACCTCCATCAGGGTCTCCCACATGCATGACAGGGGCCCAAGCACCTGGGTCAGTCATCTGCTGCTGCTTTCCTAAGCACATTAGCAAGCAGCTGGATGGGAAGTGGACCAGCCAGGACAAGAGCCAGCGCTCATATGGGATGCTTGTATTGCAGGTGGTATCTTAACCCCTGCACCGCAATGCTTGCTCCAACCCACTCCCTTTTAGTGTTGTGGGGCAGAAGGTTAAGCTACCACCTGCAGTTCCGGCATCCCATTGCATCTCAAGCGCTGGTTTGAGTTCTGGCTGTTCCACTCTGAGCCAACACCTTGCTAATGCTTCTGGAAAAGCAATGAAAGATGGCCCAAGTGTAAGAGCCCCTGCCACCCACATGGGAGACCCAAATGAAACTCCTGGCTACATCCTGGGCCAGCCCCAGCCATTCCAGTCATTTCAGGAATGAATCAGTGGATAGAAGATCTCTTTCTCTGTGTCTCTCCTCCCCCTCTCTCTCTGCCTTTCAAATTAATAAAAAAAATATTTTTTTAAAGTTACTATCAACACTAAATAGTCAGATAAAGTATACTTTTATCTTTGTACTTAAATTTTATTTTAAACCCATATCAGAATATATTTAGGGGTTCTTACCTGACTCTAAACCCAGAGATTCCTAGTAGTCTGGATTTAGGGGCTAAGTGACAACTTGAATCCATGGAGGTTATTTTTAGTTAAAGTGACTGTTAGAAAATGATTTGTTAGTGTACTATGATTTCAGCCAAGTTAAAGGAAAGCCAACAATAGTGTTCTGTGTATTACATAAATATGGAAAACTGGTCTAAAATGCTAATAAATTTGGGTGAGAAGGGTGATTTGATTTTTTTTTGTATTATCTTTTCATATTTCTGTATTTTCTTAACTAATCTTGTTTATTTTGTGAAGAAAATAAAGTTCTTTTTGTTACATCTGAAGTATTCATCACGTTACCTTTGATATAGCACTTCCGACAAATGCTGAAAATGAGGTCCTGTCCTTTTTTATTTTAAGTCAACATTGTCACCAATACTAGAGTGTGTCCCCTGAATTATCTCTACTGTATGCAAATATTAAATAGAAAAGAATGTAAGGAATAATTTATTATAATACAGTCAACAGAAGAGCTGAGGTAAATACGTATCTTTAAGCCTTCCTTTGCCTTCTTGGATTCCTGATAAATTTTTATCTACGCTAATGATTTTCAAACTTGAATAATCTATACAAAGCCCTTTATTTTAAGTTTCCATTCTTGTACCATGTGAAAAATAATGACTCTATTCTCCCACCTTGTGTGTGTGTATGTGTGTGTGAAAATTACTGTCAACTATTCATTCAAATTGTGTCCCTTGACATAATTTGGTTTTTGCTTTGTATAAATGCATTATTTAATAAGTAGATTTATGGTAATTTCTGATTAGTACACATATCCCAAGTGAAACACAGAATTTCCATGATTCTACTCTGTCATCTAGATGATCTAGAATATGCTTATGTTGATTTTTTTGTAGGTAAATTATTATAAGAATGAAGATAAAAACTTTAAAATTCCTAGAGGGAATTCAGTCCCCTTTCCTCCTAACCCCCACTAAGAATTGCTGCTTTGTGCTAGGCAGGCAACAGAATCATTTAAAAATCATACCTAATGTTCTTTAAAGAAGAAAGCTTGTTGCCCTTGGAGGGCAGGTAAGTACAAGTGTAGAAACAAGAATTGCTTACTTTCATTTGTTGTCTTTGATTAGGATCCACTTCAGTCACATTTCCTGAAGTTATGGGGATGGGAACCCTGGGTTCCTGTGTTCAGCATAGTACAGCTGTATCCAGAGGATCAGGAACTTTTCTCAAAAAAGTAGAGAGAAATAAAGTATCTTTCATGGAAATATTGAGGTGAGGGGATAGAAGTATGTAAGAAAGATACCAGGAAAACAGACACTGAGATACTCCTGTGTAGTGTATGGCAGGAATCTTGAGGATTTAAAAATCCAGTAAATTGCCCTTGACTATTACATAATAACCAGTGCAGCCTAATTAATAAATAGACTTTTAATGTTAGGTGGGAAAGAAATGGATATTAATGTTTTTGTTTTTAAGATGTATTTTATTTATTTGAAAAAGTGAAGAGAGAGATCTTCCATCCACTGGTTCATTCCCCTAAATGGTCTTAACATCCAGGACTGAACCAGGCTGAAGCCAAGAGTCAGGAATGAATCCATCCTGGTCTTCCAAATGGGTGGCAGGGACCCAATTACTTGTGCCATCCTCCACTGGTTTCCCAAACACATAGCAGGGAGATGAATCAGAAGTGGAGCAGCAGAGACTCAAATCGGCTCTCTGATATGGGATGCCAGTATTGCAAGAGGCTACTTAACCTGCTGCACCACAGTGCCAGCCCTGGTGCTGCTAATGTTTTAAAACAAGGACCACTATTGGGAGTGGGAACATAAAGATCTTAGCATTGGTGTATGCTATAATACTTCAGAGAAGGAAAACCAGATGCAAAGCAAAATAAAATGATACAAAAGTAGACTGAGAATTAAATAGAGTCATAGGCTGACCAGAAGACAAAAAGGAAGCTTAAATTCTGCAACTGACAGGCTGTACGATGAAGGGAATATCTAGTTTACATTGCTGCTAGTGTTTATGCCTTAGCTTTTATCTCGTTAATGTGCTGATTTTCTGCTGTACTTTTTCTCATGGTTCTTTTGAAAATGTAACTGTGATATAAATATAAAGAATTATTTTAGATCTAAATAAATGTGAAATTTCTACCTCCATGTAGTTCTCTGATTTGTCCTCTTCTGTCTCCACTACCCTAACCTTAGTTTAGACCATTATATAATAGTTTTATTTATTTGAAAGAGTTACAGAGAGTGGTAGAGACAGAGAGGGGTCTTCTATCCACTGGTTCACTCTCCCAATGACCACAACAGCCAGAGCTGAGCCAAGCCGAAAACAGGAGTCGAGAGCTCTCCCATGTGGTTGCAGAGGCCCAGGCACTTGGGCCAACTTAGGCTGCTTTCCCAGGCACGTTAGCAGGGAGCTGGGTTAAACATGGAACAGCCAGGACTCGAACTGACACCCATATGGGATGCCAGCTCTGCAGCCTGGGGTTTTAACCCACTGCACCACAGCACCAGCCACAAAATTAGCTTTCTTAAAAGCACATGTGGTACTGTCACTGCTGTTTAAAATTCTTTTCTTATTCCTCACAGCTTTTAGGAAAATTTGGTATAATATGGAAATGTTTGTCATATATCCTGATTTGTACTTATCCAGTGTAATTACCAATTATTTCCCACTTTACTCTCAAAAATGTCCCAGTTTGGATGACACATAATTCAGTCACTCTGTTCTTGATCTTTCCTACTTTTGCTTGTCAGGAAAATGGGTAATGTAGTTCTTCCTGATCTTAACTTTCCCTAAAGTATCTAGTTGCTTCAACCTAGTCTCTTTCCCAAATTGTCCAGTTTCCATCATCCTGAAACATTTATGTTAAGCAATCAATTTAAAAGTATAGTTCCAAGTTAAGGATAAATCAGGGATTTCTAAAATGGTTATATTATAGTAGATGTGTGAGTGTTTACCCAGTTTTGAATAACTGATACTGTTACCCTTTCTAAAGGCCCTCGATCTCTTGCAATTATACTAGGGCTTTTTAAT